TTGTGCATCACGTCCCCGCAGTAGGTGGCGACGTCCGAGCCCCACCCCCACCAACTATCGACTTGCCCGAATCGGCGCGAGGCGGGGGTTAAGGTTCGGATTGCGCCAACGTCAGCTTGTGATGAATAAATCCGCGGGGGGCGCGTGTTGAAAAGAATGGGCCCCAGCTCGGGCGAATCGCGGGGTGGCGCCCACCAGATTGAAAATCAACGGGGCGTCGCCGGTGATTAGCGCCCGCCCGGCCGACGCGTTCGTCACGTGTTCGCCGAATTCAAAGCTCTACCCCCGCCGCCCATCGAGTCGCTGGGATCGATTATCGGCGAGGGTGGGGTTTGGATTTCGCTGCCGACCTGGGCAATGTTTGTCGTCGCGGGTCGCGGTTGATTGCTCCAGGTGCCGAAACAAGAAGTACTCTTGGCTGCCAATAGATAATGGGAACCAACCGTCGTGATGTCTCTCCGCAGCGCCTGGAGGATCTGGGCCCTGGGGTCCATATCGAGCCCTGGATCTGTCTGGGGCGCGTGCTGGCTGGTATTCCGACGGGAGACCCGCCGTGGCCATGGGGGCGCCCCGGGAGGTATACAGCAAGCATAAGACATCAGCAAAAAACAGAAGACGGGCCAACGGCGTCCAAGAGCTCTTCGCTTTCCTCTCCGGCTCCTATGCGGTTGAGCATGCCGCCTCGAAGGGCTGCCTGAAAGCCGGATGAGTGGCAAGGAGGACGAGGAGGAGGAGGAGGAGGAGAAGGAGGAAAAGGAAGAAGAGAAGGGATACGGAAGAAGGAGAACAAGGAGAAACGGGAGAGGAGGACAACACGATACAAGAGAAGACCATTCTCGGACCATGCTTTCGGGTCTGGCCTGGGTCTAAGCGGTGGCTGCACCAGAGGGAAGATCTGGAAGTGTAACGCACACACGTTCGTACGTGATGTGTATATGAAGATGTGGAATTCTACAGCTCTGTGCTGCGAGCTGTGAGCACGAACGCCGACTAGCGTCTGCGCCGAGGGAAGTCTTCGGCTCCGAGGAACGAGCTGGCCCCCACCTGCTGGAGCCCCTGACTGACTCAGAATACCGTTCCTCTGCCGGCGACGTGGCACTACCGGCGCGACCACCAACAACGGGCCACGCAGGATTGCACCCAACATTGTGGATGGAAGCCAATCCTCGCCATCGCTCGGACGCCCATTCCCCGTGCATTGTTCGGTTCCGTGCGTTCCTGTCTTCGCGAGATGATCCAAAATGCTCCTCGATGGTCCCCGCCGGAATAAATTGCACACGTCCGCGCGATTCCAGGAATCTGCTTACTATCAAATCCTCGGTTGCCGCAAACTATAGCACCTTACCAATACAGCGTCCGGCGCGCTACCGACATGTAGAAAGGGATTGGCATCACGATTCCCCACCAGCGACAACCAACCTACCACTCGCATTGTGCATTGTGGAGGTGGCGCCGCAAACAACTGCCCCACGGAAAGCGTATGTGAAATCTTATACGGTTAAAGCAGAAAGCGGCCTAGACGTGGAGACCCCGCCTTGTGAGAGCACAAAGAGGCGCGCCGACTGCAAAAACGCCACACATGTGTTTCCTCCATCTGCGAGGTGGCGGCCGAGTCGCGAGCGCTAAACCAGAACCACGCTTCGGCGAGATACACCTGGCGTGGCAGATGGGCGGACTGGATGTTGTGGATCGCGCGAACGCGCTGACTTGACCAACTCGCTCCCGTCGGAGCCAGGGTCGGAATCGACATCCGACCCCCCTCGACGGGACGTCTTCCCGAGCGCCTGTACTCTCTTCAAGTCCGAGGGAAGGAATGCAAAAGCCTCCAGGACAACACGCTCGGATGCAAAACCAGGGAGCTCTGAAGGGGCTCCAGGACACACAAAGGAATACACACAAATAGAAATATTCCCCATATTTTCAAATATTTTCTGGGTTTCTGTCTTCCCCCCCACTTCCCATATTTTCCCATATTTTCTGGGGAATCGAGGATTAATTGTGTCTGTGTGTTTTTTCCTCTCCTGGACCTCGTGGGCCTCTTGGAAGGAGGGCAGCTCGCGGGAGCGGCCCCGTGCAGGAGCAAAACAAACGCAGGAGCCGGACACGCACGCCGAAAGAGGCCGAAGCGCGCGCCAGTGCCACGCGAGGGAAGGCCGAAGCGTGTGCAGCGAGACTCCACACAGGCGCACGCTGACGCACACACCACACCATACCACACCACACCACACCACACCACACCACACCGTGCACACAACACAACGCAACACCACGCAACGCAACACAACGCAACACACAACTCACACACACACACAACACGCGCGGCACACACAACACGCACACACGCACACACGCACACGCACGCACGCGCACGCACATACTTTTTGTTCGGCGGGGCGAGAGCGAACCTCTTCCGCTAAAAGCTAGGCGGGCTACGCACGCGCACGCACACACGCACACACCCACACTCCCACACTCGCACGCACACGTGTTTGGTTGGCGTCGCGGCCACGCGCGCCGCGTCGCGGCACAGTGAAGTCGGGCGGCGTGGCGCGGGCGGCCACGCACAGACGCATGCACAAAGCAAGGGGCGGGCCGCCGCTGAAAACGCTGGTGTTGCTGGCTCGTTTTCACATCGTAGGTGTCCAGCCAACCACAATGAGAAGACACAACCTGAACGCGTATAAAAACCACATGTGCGTAAACATGTATATACATATGTATATATGCGAAAGGCAATACCAAACGGACCACTTCATGAACGGCACGAACCGCAAATCCCCGAACGGAAAAACAAACGGACCCCACAACTGACAACAATCGACAATCTCGACAGCGGAAAGCAGCGTTTTCCCGTCATCCCAAATGGAAATATTGCTTTCTCTGGTCACCCCGCGCAGGACCAGGACCCACACACCATCATCATCATCATCATCATCATCATCATCATCATCATCATCATCATCAGCATCATCATCATCATAATCATCATCATCAGCATCATCATCCTAATCATCATCATCATTATCATCATTATCATCATCATCAGCATCATTATCATACCCATCATCATTATCAGCATCATCATCGACAGCATCATCGGTATCATCATCGTCCATCACCTACCATCATCATCATCATCATCATCAGCATCACCATCATCATCATCGTCACCATCACTATCACCACCATGACCATGACCATGGCCATGACCATGACCATGACCATCATCCTCTCCCCTCCTCCTTTTATACTCTCCGTCGCCGAAGCCATCACCACCCTCACTCATCGTCATAATCACTCGCCTGGTCACACAGGCACACTCAGCATTATCACCGTCGCCATCATCATCCTCATAATCAGCACCATCGCTACTATCAATCATCGCCATCATCATCACCACCACAACCACCACCACTATTATCAGCAGCATCACCGCCACCATCGTCATCATCAACACCACCATCACAGCCATCACCATACCGTCGTGATTGTTGGCAGCCATCGCCATTATTATCACACTCACCGTGAGGAAGTGTCGAGCGGGAGACTCGTCTGTGAGTGAATCGCGAGGGAATCTCACTGGAAGCCCCCCCCTCGATGGGGTCCCCACCTCAGTGTTCGAATCTGGAACGGCCGTCGGAAAGCCATGCGGGAGCCTGGTTCCTGAGCAAATGGCAAAGACGTCTCGAGCAGGAGCCCCCTCCCTACGGGGTCCCTGCCTCATGTTGGCAATCTCAGGCGGCCGTCGGGATAGTGGGAGCCCGAATCCCGAAGCAGCCTCGAGCAGGAACCTCGTTCATGAACAAACTGAGAGGGTGCCTCGGGCGCTCGCCTGTGAGCGAATCACGAGGAAGTCTCTGACGAGAGCCCCCGTCGGAGTGGCTGACGCGTGGCACGTGCGTGCTCACGCTCTCACAAACACATGTGCAATGTGTGTGTGCTTGGTGTGTAAGGTTTGTCTTATGTGTGCCGTGGGTTGTGTGTCGTGTGCGTGTTGTGTGTGTTATGTGTGCTATGTGTGAGCTGTGTGTGTGTGGGTCATGTGTTCTGCGTACTATGTGTGTTAGGTGTGTTGTGTGTGTTGTGTGTGCGTTGTGTGTATTGCTTGTACTGGGTGTGGTGTGTGTGGTGTGTGTTGTAGTTAAGTGTGTGTGTGTGTTGGTGTACATGTTTGTGTATGTGTTCTGCATGTCTGTGTGTGACCGTTGTACGTCGGGGCTCGATTGTGGGATCTCGGGCAAAACTGCCTTTGTCTAAAAATCGCGTTGAAGAGGGGCTCGACTTTTGGATGATGTCTCACGCGAGAATGCAAATTTCGAAGAATCTGGCTCAATCTCATGGATTTCCATGATTACCTTGAAAACTGTATGTTGCAACATCCAAACAAAAATCAAAGTGTTTGGACTGTGACGCCGTGGTCTGGGTGGGGGTTGCGTCCGCGTTGTTTTTTCACAACTTTGAAGACGGCCTGAGAGAAGCGGCCAACAACAGCAGCAACACCAACAACACCATCAACAACAGGCGGCTTCAACTCATCGCCTCTCAGCTCTACTCCCTCGGAGGGGTTCGTACGGGAACAGCATCTGCAACCAAACCGTATCGTAAGGATGGGCGGCAAAGGATGTAAGAGCCTTGGGCGCCCATGCCGAGGACCTTCGAGCGGGGGTTGGCCGTCGAGAGTGGTCGAGGACGAACCGGAGATGTCCGAAGATGCGAGAACGCAACTGGTACTCCTGGGGAGTCGATCGTCCTTGCTTAGGGGAACAAGAAGTGGCATAAACATAACAACTCGGAGGTCCGCGCGGATTTCTCGGGATCCGCGCTGGAGCCCCCTCCCTGGCGCGCGGAGCGCGCCAGGGGCGGCGCCGGAGGCGCCGCCGGGGGGGCCCAGCGCCGATCCGAGGAATCCGCGCGGACCTCCGAGTTTCTGTGCTGATGCCACTTCTTGTTCCCCTGTTGTTGGGCGGGCTGGCTGCAGGGGCGGGCCGCCCGCCGGCAGCCTGCCGAGCAGGTGTCCTCCACCCACTTGGCCACCTTGCCGCCGGGCGGCCCCGCCAGCGAGGTGTTCGACTCCTCGCCGCGGCCCCGCGGGCCGCCCGACGCCCCTCCCGCCAGCGGGGCGGGGCCGGGGGCGGCGCCGCGGGCGCGGGGCGGCGCCGCCGCCGCGGAGAGGCGCGGCGCGGGCGCGAGGAGGGGCGGCGGAGCCGGGAACGCGGAGAAGCGACACCAGCACCACCAGGGACCACCAACGCGATGAGCCGCGGGTGGTTCCCCGGCTGGCGTGGTCCTCCCCCGCCCCCTCTCGCTCGAGACACCCGCTGCCTCCAGCTCGGGGAGGCCTCGTGGGCCTCGCCGCCAGAGGCGGCTCCCTCTGGTGGAGGTGGTGTCGCTTCTCCTTCCCCCGGACGGAGCGGGGCAAGGGGCCCCACCGTCCCGCCAAGAAGCTCAGGTGTGCGACGAAAAGACACGGTTTTGCGCAAGGAGGTATGACGACCTTACGCGGCGGCTTATGCGGGCCGCCATCGCGGCACGCTACTGCAGTCGGAGCGATAATGCTTACGCGCGACCTCACGCGTTGCGAAGCCGGTTGCCAAAGTGATCATACGCGTTCTGCGGAACGTAGTGACGTAGAGTCGTGGTGTATGTATATATGTATACAGCTGAAACCGTATTGGGACTGTAGTTGTTGGTGAAAGTAGGCGCGGTGGTCGGAAAAAACTTGTTGCCCGATTCGAGCTCACTGCTGAGCACCAGCAAAGTGTCGGGCTTCCCACGCCAGCTTCCTCCCTCCCAAAGGATGCTGGCGCATTCATTTTGGTCATCCATATCGTGCAGTGAAAATTGTAAGCAACAGAGCCAGACACATAAGTGTGTGGCCACCTCCGCTACCAAATAGAACCAGAAAACATGATGCGATGTAAAGGTATATCAGTGTTTCCTCTACGCGACGAAGTTAGTAGCGACTTATTATGTCCTGGAGTCGACCCCTTGAGCCCAGACGGGGTGCGGGTGCGCTCGCTCTTGCTCGCTCCAAGAGCTTGGCAGCTCCCCTTGGAGAACGGGGTCTGCATGGGTCCCTCCGCCAACCCACGCGGCCGTCCCGACCAGGCAGGGGGATCCTCTGACCCGGGTCAATCCAGACCTGGGTCAGCAGGAAACCAAACACTGCAATGCAGGAAAAAACTTCAGCACAGGTCTTCGCAAACCCGGGTCAGCCAATATGCGCGGCCGCCTCGCGGCCACGAGCGGCTCGCCAACCCAGGTCAGCCAGAGGAGGTCTTCGCAGGATTCTGCAGGATCGGGTGCCCTGGCTGACCCCCGTTTGCATTGACTTCCGTCTCTCGGGAGCGGCCGAGAGGGGGTGTCCAAGAGGGGGGGGTGCACATCATGACCGGCGGCACGTGCGCGGCCCAGCGGCGGGGGGGCCAGGGACGCAAGGAAATAAGAAGAGGCGCCATGAAATCTGCGGAAATATCATGGCCCACGCCATGATATCCACCCCCCCCCAGTCTTATGTCGGGCCTGTCCCCCTACAGGGGGATTTTCGAGGAAAAATTGAAAATACAAGAAAAATACCCCGAAAGGGTTAAAAATACGCCCAAAATAGCCCCCAGACTATGTTTGGACTATTTGTTTATCATTTGTGGGGTATTTTTCTAATTTTCGTCGAAAATCCCTCTGTATGGGGGACAAGCACGACATAAACCCTAGTCATCACCCCCCTCTTCTTGGCCGCCCCCCAGTCTCTTGAGCCCCGAGGTCCAGGGACGTAAGGAAACAAGAAGAGGCGCCATGAAATCTGGGGAAATATGATGGCCCACGCCATGATATCCACCCCCCCTAGTCTTATGTCGGGCCTGTCCCCCTACAGGGGGATTTTCGACGAACAATTAAAATTACCCCAAGAATACCCCCAAAGGGTCAAAACATACACCCCAAAATAACCCCCAGACTATTTTCGGAGTATCTTTTGACCATGTCTGGTGTATTTTTCGAATTTTCGTCGAAAATCCCCCTGTATGGGGGACAGGCCCGACATAACCCTAGTCATCACCCCCCTCTGCCGCCCCCGAATCTCTTGAACCCCGAGGTCCAGCCCTGCCCCTGCCCCCGCAAGGAAACAAAAAGAGGCGCCATGAAATCTGGGGAAATAGGATGGCCAACGCCATGATATTCAACCCCCCACTAGTCACCACCCCCCTCTTTGCCGCCCCCCAGTCTCTTGAGCCCCGAGGTCCAGCCCTGCCCCTGCCTGCGGGGCCTTCCCCTCCGCCCGCGGCGGGGCCTCGCGCGCGGCCCCGCGCCGGGGCCGCGGGGGCGCAGAGAAGAGGGCAGCGGGCGACGCTGGGGAGGGCCCTGGCTTGGGCAGGTGCTCAAACCCTCACCGAACGGGCGCACACGAACTGGAGGAGAAGGAGGAGGGGGAGGAGGAGGAGGAGGAGGAGGTGGAGGAGGAGGAAGAGGCGGAGCGTCCTCAGGAATGTCTGAACTCCTTGCCCAGCCACCCTACGGGCCCTTCGGGCCGAATTGCCTCCAGAAGGGAGGTCCACAGCTTGGCGCGCAACCCTGGCGATCGAACGGGCGACCGCGGCGGGGACCGCTCCGCTGGTGCCCTCACGCTTCTCGAGATGGAGAAGACGGTGCAAGTGGAACATCAACGCCACCCCTCGAGTCGAATCCAGCGAGGGGACGACGAGGGCAAGGGCAGAGAGCGGATCACTGGGCAACGGACGACCAAGGGCCACCCGAACCAGCTCACGAAAGTGTTGACACCAGAAATAGTGCTTCAGGCTATCTGGGGCATCACAACCCAGACAGCATCTACGATCCCGATTCTGGAGACGGGTGTCAGTGACCCATCCCCCGAGCCAAGTCTTGATGCATGCGCACCTCCAACTCGGGGGCGCACGCATCAGGACCTGCTCCACGTCGTGCCACCCTACAGCCGCAGCCTCCAGGGGGGGCATTCCAAACCATGTGGGGAGCCTCTCCGAGATTAGGCCCCTCAGATTCCCATCCCTGGAGGCCCGCAGGCCCACTAAAAGTTCACGCTGAAGACGCCTCCTCCGCCCGTCCTCCCACCGCCCCGCCCCGCCTTGGCTAGAGGAGAGGAGAGGGGGAACGCCGCTCTTTTCGAGCAGCTCGCGCCCCGCCGCCTCCGCGCGCGCCAGCGTGACGGCGGGGGCGGGCGCCTCCCACCAGGAAGGCCAGGGCTGGCCTGACGTGCACCGCACCAGCGGCAGCCTGCGCGAGGCCACCTCACTCAGGTGCGCAGCGGCCCTCCGCCAGGTCTCGAGCGTCGAGAGGGCCGAGCGCGTGAGAGACGCCGCCAGGAGGTCAGACGTTGGCACACATCTTGGGCCCCCCAGCGTCTCGAGGTCGAAGAACGTGTTCTTCTTGAACAGGCTTCCCGAGCACCTGGCCAGCCGGCACAGCAGGAAGCGCTCATCATCAATCAGCTCGGACGTCATCGGCCAGAGCTGCGCCTTGTAGGCCAGGACGGGCTGGCATCGTCGGCTGCACTCAAAGAAGACAGCCGTCATGTCCAGTGGCGAGGCCGCGAGCGCCAGGACCCTCTCACGTAGGCGCGCAAGTGGCGCTGCCCACTGGGCCGCCAGCGATGCACCAGGGCCCACCAGACACCCCAGCAGCTCCACCGACGAGGCCACGGTGAAGGAGCCCCACCCGCAGGAGTCTTCCAGACACTTCCTCATCGCCTCCTCCACCTCCGCCGAGAGCGGGGCCCAGAGCGGGACGGCCGCGCACTTCTTGGGCTGGAGCTGGAGGCCAGCGAGGCGCTCTGCGGGGCGGAAGATCCTCGCCAGGGTGCGGAGCCCCCGCCTGCAGTAGATCAGGGCCTGGATGTCGTCAGCAAACCAGCGGGTCATGCCAAGGGCCTTGGCCTCCAGCTGCTGCGAGTGCGCCTCCACGAACGGCTGCGCGCCAATCGCGAACATCGTCCCAGAGAGCGGGTCACCCTGCAGGATCCCGCACAGGATGACAAAGAGGACCCAGTGGCAGGGCCCCGCCTCCACGACCTCGACGTTGGCGTAGGACTCCTTCAGCTGGTGCTCCAGGCCGAGCGGCACCGCCCACGCCTCCAGCACCCACCACATCCAGTCGTGGAGGAGCGACGGGAAGGCATGGGCGAAGTCGAAGCTCAGGAGGGCCGGCTCCTCCAAGCCACGAGCTTGCTCCAGCGCACGCATGGAGGCGACGCGGGACATTGCGTCCAGCTCCACCAGGTTCTCCAGGAAGTTCCGCCCCGTGATGAAGCCACGCTGCGCCTTTGATGCGCCGCGGTCAAATGCCCTTCAGCCTGAAGTTCACCGCGGGGGCGATGGCCTTGGGGCCCGTGGAGCGCAGCATGAGTGGACGGGTCCCATTCGGCTTCCTGATAACCTCCATATCGTCACCATCCAGCACCTTCTTCGGCGGGAAGATGGCGATGCTCATGTTGAACTCACTACGCATGGGGCGGCCCAGGGCCATCCATCTCATGGCCGCGAGGAGCACCTCCGAGCCCGCCGAGTGCATCAGCCACGCCCGCGCAGGTAGGCCATCAACCCCAGGTGCAGCAGGCCGCGCAAGCCGCAGAGCCCCCTCGTTGTGCATGGCCGAGGGTGGCGCCAGGGAGCTCCAGTCAACCTCCTTCATGCCGTACTTCGCGATGAAGACTTTGGAGTCCCGCTCGCGACGGCAGCGCTCCGAGGTGACACCCCCGGCAGCCAGGCACGCGGCTCGTGCAGGGGGGCAGAAGACCTCGCCCCAGTGGATCGCCAGCGCCTCGTGGATCTCGGCGAGCGAGGTGAGCAGCCTGCCGTCAGGTGCTTCCACAGCCGCGAGATGCCGCCGCGGGAAGACTGACCAAAGAGCAGCACGACGTTCCAGGGCACGGCGCTGCCCTAGGAGACGACGGCGATCAGAAACACGCAGTTGCTCTTCATCAGCTTCAAGCTCCGCCTGGAGCTCGGCACGTCTGGCCCTGGCCACGCGCCGCTGCGCCAGGACAAAGCGCCTGAGGAACTCTTCATGGTTCTTCAGCATCACCACGCCCTTCATCACATCTACAG